AAAACCAACACTGAGTTTCATTTTGTTCTATAACCAAAGGCAAATGCCAGAATAATCATTCAAGATAATATAATTGGTGTTGACATTGAAGAATTAAGCACAGATGACCATTTTTTCTCATGGGCAGTTCAAGGGCTAGTTCTTTGGTGTCAAGACCCATTGTTTGAATGCTTACTTGATTACATTTATATTTAAACTCACTAAAATGGATTCACTTAATCGAATATATCTTTCATGGGGTTTCTGCATGCACGCTGGAATTCAAAAAACTAAATGTCAAGGGAAGGGGAAGTACACAATCCCAGAAGAATCAAATGAGAGTACTGCACTTGGTGCTCTCTCCCTTGGAAGCTATTCTGCATACATAGTTACATGTACATTGATTACATGATTAAGATTAAAGAGTCTTATAGAAAAAGCAATACAATAGGCTAGAATATGCATGACAGAACAACTTGAAGTCAGAGACCAAGCTCCCAGTGCTTCGCTGTCCTGACCACACATAGTGTGGCAGACACTGTCACCCCAGGAACTCTTACATCTGTGAGATGAGAAAGAACTTCCTTTAGTGAGAAAGACTTAGTAGCTAGTAGCCAGTTTTCGTCTTTCTTTTGGATGTTTGCTAATGATGTTTAGCACCTGTAGAATGAAGCTGACTACTCATTTTACAGCCAGCACCATTTATGTTATGAATTGTAAAAGCCATTGTGTTATGAGTTGTTATAAACGTGGCTTTTAAAATGTATTTTCTATAAAGGTAAATATTGAAGAACTGCTGCACGTTCTTCTGTGCTCTCAGAGTTAGCAATTATTCATACTAAAGAGCTGCTTAGAACTTCTGCTTTACTGGCTGCTGCTATTTTAGGTAGCTGATTGGTCTTTGCATGCCTTCTGCCTAGACCACAACACAGCTGATAAGTTTCATAGTACATTACTTGTGAAAAATCAAAGAAACAACTTAGAACAACATTGATAAACAAAATGCCAAAAACACAGTAATAAAGTTTTTAACTTTTCAAGGCTTCTTTTTGTGATGTTAATTCTTGCAGTTTGCTTTTTCCCCGTTATGTGACAGAAATTTAATAAATAATTTCTAACATGAATGACAATAAAAACCATGTGATTTACACCATGTGACACAGATACACAGGGAAGTATCTAGGGACAAATACAAGTCACACCATGGAATATAGGCTATCTACGACGTTTTTCTTGTTGCAATATTTAAATTTTTTATTTATTTTTATCTTATATGTATATGAATGTTTTGCCTGCATGTGTGTGATTGCACTTCGTGGGTGCCTGGTGCCCTTGGAGGCTAGAAGGCATCAGATCCCCTGGAACTGGAATTAATGGCATGCGTTAGCCATCATGTGGGTGCTGGGACTTGAACCTTGGTCCTCTGGAAGAGCAGCCAGTGTTCTTAACCACTGAACCATCTCTGTAGCCCTATCTTGTTGCAATTTTTAATAGGAGTCCTTAACTCACTATCTGGGTGTTCAATGTCTTGTTCCCAAACCAGTCTTTACAGATTCTAGGTTGAGTGGTAATTAAAGCAATTGTTTGTTCAGTACTGGATATATTCAATTCATTAGTCCAGGTATGTGAAAGTACACATGTTCAAAATAACTAGATCACTCACACTCGGACTTAAGGGCAAATGTCCTTGGATTTGTTCTAAGGCTTGTTTTTTTTTTTTTTTTTCTTAGCTAAGCCTGAGTCTAAAGGTCAATGCTGATTTTGATTAGAATGTAATCAAAGTGAAACGCTGCTGCTAATTTGTTTCTTATTGGGAGAATCATTTCTACATTAACTCACTTGCTTAAATCCTTCTTCAAACAGGGATGCCGGGTAATTAGGAGGGAAATCAAAAATAGAAGCAGCGTCTGTTTGTACAGATAGTTTGTTCTGCTGGTAACTCCTGTTTGCCTTATAGATGAGCCCTGTCTTCGCTTCCCTGCCCTCCCTACTGTCTTCCATCTTTTTCTTTTCTTTCTGACACCCATTACAGAGAATTAAGCTGGAGACTTAGAGATGGGGGCAAATACAGGTGGTATCTATTAGAAAGAAAACAAACTGATTTGTGAGCTCCTGGAACATTTGGAATATTATATTGCTGTCATTAGTGCTATGCAGGAATGTTAGTGGAGTAAGTCAAGTGTGATACCATAGTCTTCACTTGGCCATGTTTGGAAATGCAGGGGAGAGAGTGTGGTGGAGGGGGCAAGAGTCAAGCTTGCCATAGTGAATTTAATCGCTCCTTCATGTGTAGATTTCTAGTCCATTGTTCAGAAGCTTAAGCAAGAAATCTTGGTTAAAGATAATAATGTGGGATTTAAGAACTACAAATGGTAATTTAAACTCTTTAATTGGGTAAAACTATACGATCAGAGAAAACAGAACTTGGAATGATCCTGTGAGGAAGTACAGAGGAAGAAAAGTTCACCACATAAGTAAAGAAGTAAACAAATGAAATGTGGCTAGAGGGATGGTGGAACCCAGAATGGGGGAAAGGGGTAAAAAGAAATGCTACGATGGAGCTGAGGAAGAATGTTTAAAAAATGAGAGTGTAGTCAACATGGAGAGATTGCTGAGCAATCAAGTTTAAAAGATAAGCTGCATTAGTTCATTTTATCACTTCGATAAAAGTAATGTCAAGAACCTTATAGACTCAAGAATCAAAGTTAAATGGGCTAAAAACAGAGGAAGGGGGAGAGATGGAGATGGAGTTCAACAGCACTTCATGGAAATTTGTGAGGAGCACAGGATCTAGCTCAAGACTGATAGGGACATTGATGCTTGTCATAGTTGGAAAGTTTTCAGGACAGTGATGGCAGATGTACTTCCGAAGCTTATCCTGAGTGTTCCTGATGGCTGACCTGAGTGAGTACTGCATCCCAAAAGGCAGAACAATGGTTCACGCCATGCCAGAAAAATTTCACATACTGGGGATGGTTAAGAGTACGCCATCACAATTTCTCATACTATCAATGTCTCACCTCATACCAGAACAATTTCAGGGACTAGAGATTGGTAGCACCATGCCAGAACAATTCTGGATTCTATAGGAACACACTTGACTTATTTGTAAATATAAACAGCATGGTCATAAGGCCATTACCCACCCAGCCAACATTTGCATATGGTAGATGAGGCAAACCACGTGACAGTAAATAGCCCATGTATCAGCTTGTACCAAGTATTTGTAAAACTGCCACAAAGCCCAGAAACAGATCAGTAAAGCTGCCTATGGCTTTTATAACCAGCCATGATTCTAGCTAATGGCTCACTAATGAGAGAAGAAAAGGTAGAATTATTATAGCTAGGAAAAAATTTAGCAGTCTAGAGGAATTGTGCTGAGAAAAAAGTTGCACCAAGTTACAGGCTGAGCAGGAATCCACTAAACATTAACTATCAAGTTCTTATTTATAGCTGTGAAGGTGCTACTAGGTTGCCATTACTCAAAGTTGGGATTACAACTAAAAGATCTGTCAAAGTCAGTAGGTAAGTAGAGTCACAGCCAGAATGCCCAAATTAAAAAGCTCTCTCACATGGAAGCCATAGGTTTTTCTCAAACCATGAAACATATTTTGATTATTAATATCAACTTATTGTTTGTTTCAACATATATAAACTGTCTCATTTCAGGATCCAAAATGAGTTGCATTTTTGTCTATTACCCCTGAAATAATCTCTACCTTCATTTAAAAAAATACTTTATTTACTTTTTTTATTTTATGTTTACGAGTATATTGCATGCATGTATGTAAGTGCACCTGTGTTGTGCAGTGACCGAGGAGGTCAGAAGAGGGTGTCGAATCCCCTGGAACTGGAGTTACAGATAGTTGTTAGCCACCATGTGGGTGCTGGGAATCAAACCCAGGTCCTCTGCAAGAGCAGCCAGTACTGTTAACCACTGAGCCATCTCTCCAGCCCTCCAGTTTCATTTTTTGAAGTCATTCTATGGGAGAATATAATTTTGCTTCTTGAATAAATTAATTTTATTTTTTTTAATTACTTACAGGAAAAGGAAAGACCTTATTACTTAAGCTCTTGATGGTTTCCCTGGAAACCATTAGTTTGAGGGACAGTGGAGATAAAGGTTAATCAGCCTGTTGTAATATTTAGAGAAAACTAAAACCACCTGTACATGCCCCATCTTCTGTGATCTCAAAAACTAAGCTTGGCTGGGTTGATACTTGAGCCATTGTGGCAAACACCTAAATAATTTGTGCCAATTTCAAACAACAATCTTGTGTATGTAACTTGAGTCGATGGTCTTTAGCATTTATTTCAGAATGTGTGAAATCTGGTGGTGGGGGCAATATTGGAGGGGTACAGATGGGGGGAGGGAGTATAAAGATGATTAAGATGTTTTGTAGGAAATGCACAAAATATCAATAAAAATATATTAATAAATAAATGTAAAACGTTTTAAAATCTTGTGTATTTTCGAATTAACTTGAAACTCTCAGTTTCCCAGCGTGTTACTTACATTGTCCTGGAATTTATTTCCATGGCAAAAAAAAGTGGAAATAAAATGGAAACTTTTTTATTTAAGGCTTATGTTCTAAGTGGTTGTAAATATTAAAGTGTGAGTGGCTTTCAACAGAACATCAGAAGCAAAATTAATGCCAGAGTGTGTCTTGTTGCCGCAGGGAAGAGCAGAAAGAAGGAGCGGTGCCAGGACGCCCACCTGTACCCTCTGGTAGAAACAACACCGTGTCCTTGCGATGAGTTTGTGTCTCAGCCCTACGGAAATTGGTCTGATTGCATTCTTCCCGAAGGCAAACGGGAGCCTCAGAGAGGACTTCGGGTACAAGGAGAAGACAAAGACTGTGGAGAAGGTGTGCGCCTTCGAGCCGTAGCGTGCTCTGATAAAAATGGAAGACCGGTTGACCCCTCGAACTGCGGCAGCTCTGGTAAGGCTGAGGAGCAGCAGAGGGGAACTTTCCCAGCGCTCAGGAGGCTTGTTCAAGGTCCGGAAATTACAGATTTGGTTTTATTATTTTCATTCTCATTTGTCAAGAGCACACTGCCACTGATAAACTCAAAGCATATGAAATATATGCATACATATCTTAGTGATTTTCTGAACTATTATGGTTTTCGGTGCTTGGCCCCTCATATTGTCCTTACTTCACTTTGGTTTATTGGCCACTTGTTTCCTGGTGGTAAGGACAGCTATTCTACCTCACTGAGAAAGCCAAAGCCCAGGACGAATGAATATATATCATATGGCTTTAAAAAAAAAATAGTGCCTTTACAATATACATAAAAAGCATCACATCTTGAATTTCCTTTGATGTCTTGACGATGGAAAAACTGACTTTAAATATTTCTAATGGGATTATAAATACACACAAATGATAGAATAAAATGATAGAAATTAATGAGATCATCTGGGAGAGTTTTGTTAGATTGTATTCCAAGAGAAGATTGAATTTTTTGAACCTCAGGAGAATTTCTGAGCCATGGATGAATGGAAGGCTAAATTTAGCTGCTGTGAACATGGCAAAGGAGGTTGGGGACCAAGGTTAGCATGGAGGTTACACTTTTCTGGTTTCAGTTTTCACATGTGCTGACTTTTATTTGCAAGACCAAACGAGGTGGGTATTTTTCAGAGCAATAGGGAGAGAAGAAAGTCATGTTTGGAAAATTCTGTAAGCAACTGGATAGAATGTGGTCTTAGCCATTTAAATCTTGTCTCTATAAAGCTTTCTCAGTAACACTAGACATGACACATTAAATTCAGTTCTGGTATAAAAGTAAGACAAATGATAGTTTCTTTATAGATGACATGCTAGCTCATCTTTAAGTATGACATACCTATATCTTTGTATGACTGTAACTTAAAAGTTTAGTGATTCTTTTAATTAGCACCACCATTGGCTTCTATTTTGTTCGTTAGTTGGTATGTAGAAATCTATTAATTGATTGGGCTTTTAGAAATATTAAACCTCATAAGCAAATAATGGACACATTTCAAAGAAGCTAGAGCTGGTGAGGTTCATCTCTGCTTTTAGTTTTTATGTACATAGTGGTTTTATTCATCCTATAGATACACACTTATATATTAACACCTGCTGTATGCCTCCTCTTCTTCCCTCCAAATACTAAGTAGGCTGAACCCTGCAAACTCCAGAGATTTAGGACCACATGGTTATAGGTCTAAATCTCCTTCTGTAATTTGCATCTACAACTATAGAGTGACCCAGGAAGTTTTTATATAGTGAAGAGTTGATGTGCAAAGATACACAAAAAGAATTTTAAGTCCTGACTTTTTCTAGTGCCATTTGAATTCAAGATAGATCTTTCCCATGCACTTAATTCTCTTCAAGCACTCCATTAGACACACCCAAGATGCCCTCTGGGTTTATTAATCCAGTCATGTTGACAATCAAGATGAACCCTCCAGTCCCGCAAACTCATGTTGATTTCATCATTCAAAGTGCATTCAGCCCATCTCCAGGAGCTCCTGGAGTCTTAATAGTTCCAGAGTTTTTCAAAAGTCCAAGCACAAGGTCTCCTGTGAAATTCAAGGCAAACTCTTAGTTGAGAGACTGTAAAATCAAAACAAAAATACCTATATCCAGCACACAATGGTGAGTCACAGAATGCATTCTTAATCATGAACAGGAGGAGTAGAAAAAGCAAGGGAGAATTAGGCCAAAGCAAGAACAAAACCTAGCAGGACTAATAATGATCCCCGAGCTCCTCGTCCACCATCCTCTGATGGGGCTGAGGTAGGCCACCTCCATTGCCTTGAAGGTGTCATCCCATGGGCTCTCTCTTAGGCTGGTCCTCCTTGCTGCCAGCAGCTTTCCTTGGTGGACATTCCCTCTTCAGTGTCTCCACTGACACTTCAGCCTCACTCTCAATGTCATGCATTACCCATTGCGGTGCCTCCTGCAAGGACTTCAACCTTCTGACACACAGCCCATCCTGGTAGAGTAGTAGTGGATATGGAAGAAGAAAATTCCAGAGGCATGCAGTCTGGTCTCTGTAGCTGTGACTGGAAAAACTTTCTGGAGCAGAGTGTGTGCTCTGATCCTTCTCAAGGGAGAAATCATAGATACAAAATGCAATCCATGTGTGCTTCCTTCTGCCTAATTGTAATAAAAAGGTATATATTTACACTAAGTGTGAAAGTAAACAATCTCCATACAAGTGGCTGTCAATTAACTAATCACTAGGGATTACTTGGTTTCCTTCGATGCAAACAAGTAGAGATCTTATGAAGATCAAAGTAACTTGCTGTCTTCTTGCTTTAAAAAACAATCTAGGGGCTAGAGAGATGACTCAGTGGGTAAGAACATCTGCTCTGCAAGCATGAGGACCTACTTTGAATCTCCAGCACCCATGTAAAGCAAAATGCAGGGTTGTGGCTGCAAGTACATGAAACTCTTGCATTTGGGGCAGAGACAGATAGATCCTGAGAATGCCCTGGCCAGTCAGCCTAGTGGAATCAGGGAGCTTCCAGTTCTGTGAGAGAGCTTGTCTCAAGACAATAAGGCAGACTTCCTCTATGAGCATATGCACCCACACACTCCTGTGCTTCACCCTCCCAACACACACAAATACATACACATATACATGTACACACACATAAATATAATAAAATAATAAAGTAAGATGTGTGAAAAACCAAGATGTATACTCTCGACTTCCATTTGGCACTCCCCTGGGAAGCCTCTCTCAGACAATTTGGCAAAAAGTAAAATTAAAAAGAAGTAAGTTTTTAAGAGTCTAGATTTGAAAGAAAGAAGTAAAACTATAGTTCTTGCAAGTAACATATGCCTGCAAATAGGAAACCCTAGGGAACCCTCCCTCCCCCACACATTCAATATGTGTTCAGGGTACAAGATCATTTTTTTTAAATCAATCATAAAACTCATAAAATAAAGCATAATTTCAACAACACTGGTCTTAGTGTTTTGGGGGATATGGAACCAAAAGCACAAGCAACAAAAGTAAATACACATGTGTTCACACTCACACCTAACTCATGGGCACTGAGGAGTCTGGCATCTGGGGTTCTTATTTTAGAATCCCTTGTAATAAAGAAAATGTTGCTAGTCCATGAAAAGCAGACTATATTAAGAGAAATATGAAGGCAGAGTTCTAGAAAGATGGTGATTATTTGGAGATCGTTTCAGGATTCAGAACTAGCACCTAAGAGAAAGGGATTTCATTTGAGTCTTTAAGGAGGAAAGGGGACTATGGTTTGTTAGCACTGATGTGCTTTGTGACAAGGTTAAATACAGAGAACTGGAGGTCAGCTGTGGGCTGATCTTGCTTGTTCAGGCATTCCTAGCCTAAAAATATTTTTTTTTTTATTCCGGGAAGGTTTTTTTCAGAATTGAACAACATTTAAAATTGTCTTGTAAGGGACTAATTAACAGATTTCCAATGGTAACTAAAATCATTTTTATGATAAAATTATTATGTATCAAGAGAAAATTGTGGGTGTCCTGCTTATGGTCATGGGCATAAGTTAAGTAAGCTGAAAAACAAAAAAATTAATTATCAGTTTTTGAAATTGAGTGTTCACTGAGAAATAGACACAGATGCCTCTGAGACTCAGCCTTAGGTAATTCTCAATGTGGTTGCTCTGGTGACACACATATCCAGTGAGGCAAACCCAGAACACAGCCTCCAGAGGGGATATGGGTCACCTGCTGGGGTGGAAAACAGAAGAGCCATGGTCTTCACTTACCACCTTCTCCCCACCCCGGGCTGTCTGTGATAGCATTCCACATTTATTTGGGTTGAAGTTGGATAAGGCAAGAGTAAGATCAAGGGTAGAGAAACCAAAGGAAGTGAGAGTCACGTAGCAATATCCCCATGAGAGATTTAAAAAGGCAGGGAGGCTGTAGAGATGGAATGAAAGACTGTGTGAGACAGGCCCAAGGACAACTCTGATGAAAGATGCAGAAACGGGCTGCAGTTGGGAATAATTCTGAAAACTGAAATTTAGTTGATAAGTGGAAAGTTGAGAACTCAGTTTTGGATGATGGGAACACTGCACAGTTAGAGATGTAAACACACACAATTGACATTATTTGATTGAAACTGAGAGAAATAAATTTTTTTATGGATTTGGGATATGGATTTTAAAATACCTTGTAGAATGGTGGGGGCGTTAAAAATGATGTTGATGTGGAAAGTCAGGATGTCAGACAACTACTAGACAGTGTTTCAGCAGCGGTGGGAAAACAGACTTTGATTTCCTCACCAAAAAGGAGCTGATTCTAAACGCACCTGAGCAAGTTTAAAACTTCAAGGATCTTTATCTGTTCTGTCTGAATACAGCTCCCTTAGCTCACTGGTTCCAAATTAATTTTTACTCTATTAAAAATAAATCTAAGACATGTTCTAGATAAAAGCATTTAAGAAATTTGAAAAGATCTGTGACGCCCTTTCCACTTATGAAATGTTTTATGTGCAGGCTAAATATTCAACTTGATTTGTTTGACAGATTCTAACCCTTTTGTCGCTATGCTCTGTTTTGTTCCAATATGATTCCAGTTGGCAATTGTCACTTAAATGATGGTAGCGGGAACACGGTGTCCCCATGTCATTTCAGCACACACTGTCTGCACCGTATGTTCCAGCCGACCTCCCACTGTCCCCCACGCACAGTCTGTCCTTCCTTAACTTCGTTCCTGTGGGTTTCCCTCCATTTGGGGATGTTTTGCAAGGTGACATCGTTCCCATCTTTTGAGCCCTAACTCACGTCAGTTTCTTAAGAAATGCTTTTTCCCAGCTTCACACTGAAATCTAGTTGTAGCTTCAGTGGAATAGAATTTCTGCTCAATTCTGTCCCTGCACATCCTTCTCCCCTTCTGCATTGTTCTTCCTCAATTCTGAGATCATTTAGTCTTTAATTTACAACATATTTATTGAACACCTACTATAT